GTGAATTTTAAATAAACTTGATAGCAATAGAGTCATCGCCGATCGCCTCTAAGCTTAGCTGTATAATATAGGAAAAGTCAAACGAATTGTTAATATGAGAGAATAGTATACATTTTAAGAAGAAAAAAAAACAGTCAAACTTATAAATATTATAATATACACAATATGCAAATAATAAAAGGTACATGTATTATATTTTCCCTAGACCCTAGTTAATATATATTACATATACATATATAATTAATTTAAACCCTATAGATTAATAATTTATATATTAGAATCCTTATAATAAATTGATTAGATATAATAATATATAATAAATAACATAATCTACGATGGTGATGATAGGTAGTAGTACCTATAGTAGTTGTGCCGCTTTTTTAATTAGCTGGTTACAATTATCAACCATCGCCGGGCGGTTGAATTTAGTCAACACCACCACCACCATCGCCGCTAACTTTATGTTTTTAATGTATATATATATTATATGAGTTTATCATCATTATGAATTTATGGTTAATGTTAAATTATTCGGGTGAACAAATAGATTTATTAGGAGCATATGAAATTCTGTGAGGATTGGACGGAAAAAAGAGAATAATTTTTCACATACTGAAGGGATAGATGGAATTTAACATTAAATAAAATATGGTTAGTAAATAAAACTATCGGTAAATCTATACTATCGCTTTTATTGAAACTGTTTTTAGCCTCCCGATAACCATATCCAGTAATTGGATGGTATGTCCTACGCACCCAATGATCGTACGCCCAATGGGTCAACTTCTCCCGCCGAGACATACACGCTATGCAATCGGGGTAGATGTAAAACGATAACGGTCGATCAGTCTCATCTACTCGCGCATTCACAAGCTCGGCATACCTTGCGAAAATTGAATAGTCACAAAAAAATTCACGTAAATGCATACGCGGACCATACGATGGAAAAAAATCCTGAAACGTATGATATCTACCGTGAAGGCGCAAGGGTGTAGTCACTGCCCGTGTGCACATCGATATATATCTAACCTCGTAAGTCACTTTTATCAAATTGTTCAGGAACAGCAAAAAGCTGTGACACGTATTAATAT